CAACTAAAACATAAAATAAATTAATAATGACCGAGAAAAAAAAATTCAACTACAAAAAACTCTATAAAAGTCAACAACAACCTTTCATTTCAACTAAAACACCCCTAACCAGAATACCACAACATGTTAAAGTATATGTTGCTAATTGAAAGGTACAAAAATGTTGTATTATAGTCCATATTAGATAATTGGGAGAGATAATAACTAATTGGGGAAAGAATAAGAGTTAACCTGATACACAATTACTAACTGTTCAAGAAATTAACAGAATTAGTATCTAAGTATAATGAAATGACTAATTTACATAATAAAGTTTAAGATTAGAGATCTAGATACCAAAAAGAAGTCTTTCAAAAATCTATTAGTCACTTCAACTATTTTATAAAGATCAAATTGTTGTTTAATCATTGTTGATTTGTTGTGTAAGTTTATCAAATATTAATTATTTTCTAAAATACATATAACAATCTAAAAAAAAATAATGATAATCAGTTAGATTTTTATTTGATTATTGAATGGACCTTTTAAATAACTAATAACTAAAAATAAAAAAATTAATTAACAAATATTTTTCTACCTAAATAAATATGCAAGTCAAATTTATTATCACTTAAATATGTTTTTCAATTTTTATTTTATTTTAGTCCTTGTAATTTATTTTTATCTTTTTTAGATCTATAACATTTTTTTAGTTTTTATCACTAATTCTAATTAATTTATTGATAAAATAATTTAAAAAAGTATGTGTACAATATTAATTAAGACGATATAGGTAACAAATAATATTTTAAATTAAGATGATTAATTTTTTTATGCATATAATTTAATTAAGTAAATATTTATTATTTTATATAAATAAGATAATTATATACACTTTTTTAAATTTATTTATAATCGTTAACATATAAAAAAAAATCTTGCAATCGATTAAAATTAATAAATCAAAATTTAATAAATATCGTTAAAAGTAAGATTAATGTAGCTAAAAAACATAAAAGTAAGATATTAAAAACACGTTATAAGCGTTTAAATTAATTATAATTTTTTTTGAAAACTTACAATGTTAGAAAAATTAAATAATTGAAAAAGTAAGAATAAAAATTGATGTGATGAAAATAATAAAATTAAATGTTCACTTTTATAATATATTAAAAATTAAAAATAGTTTATAAAGCAATTTTTTTATAGTTACCTTACTTATATAGAATAAAAAATACTTGATAAAATTGTGTATTTAAAAATAATTTTTTTTTGTAAAAAAAGGAAAAATTACAAAGATGATCACAATGAGGATTGAACCTAAATTTTCATGTTTTTAACTACCCTATCCCTAGTGGTTTATTAATTATCTTAATTTAAAATACCTTTTGTTAAAGGCAAATGTAATTGACTCCTTTAATTTTACATTTATTTTTTCTTGTGCATGTGACTTCAATTATGATATATCAAATATCTAATTTTGTAAAGAAATGTAGTTAATATCTAAGGATGACAACAGTGTGAGGCGAATATTAATATATTCACCTCACTAGATAAAAATATATCATATATTTATTTTCATATTTGTTCAAATATTCATTAAATGGATACCTGTGCAGCCACTCACAGATATCCGTGTATAATTATTTTAATCAAAATAAATAAATTTTCAAAAACATTTTAACAGTAATTCCTATTTGTTCTAATAATTTGATTGAAAATAATAATTTAAAAGTCAAAGCACAAATTATTCAAATATTGTACATAATTTTATTAATCAAGATTTTTCATTTTAAAAACTAAGGAAGTGTATTGGGTTGAAATTTCATAAGACTTTTTTAGCATAAAAAAGTATTGTGGATTTTAAAAAATTTTGTAGAAATTTAATGATTTTTAAGATCTTTCCAAATGACTTTGTAAGAATGTAATGACTTTTAATTAAAAAAAAAAACATTTTTTGTTAGATCAAAAAATAATCTTAAATTCCTTTGGTTTTAGGTTTCGTTGTTAACAAACAAAGAAGTTCGTATAGAGATTTCAAAACAATTAAGACGAAACATCTAAAATGCAACATGTCATTAAGATGAATTATTGTATAAGACGAAAGTTCCATTAAGTCGAATTTGTTGCTAACTAAGACGGACCCTTAGTCATAAAGGAGATATGCATCAAATATTTATTATTTACAATCTTTAAACAATAAATTGATTATGTTTAAACGTGTATTTGACATATCAAAATTAAAAAATACTTCATTGGTACAAACGTCTTACAAAAAGGAAAGAAATATATGTCTTGCATTAAAAAAAAAACAGGTAGATCCCCACAAGCACGAAAAGTTGTAATCAAGTTGTTTCATCACTATAACACCCTGACACACATGACTTTACTCACTTGGTACCCAAAATGTGATAACTAACTTATTTGATCAAATAAAAAGTAATAATTTGGTGAATATCTTTAATGGAATAATTTATTACGCCAACACATTTTTCTCCTCAAGAAACAAATTGTGAAGACAGATAAAGCAAGTCATGTGAGAAAAACTCAAGAATTTGCTACGATCATTTTCACTAAAACCTTTATAAGAGGAAGTTTAAAGTTTAGAATGAAGAGATGACAATTTAAAATGAAATATCATATATTCATTCTTTTTGTAATCATCTTTGTACTTAACTTGTTGTATCACATCTTAAAAGAAAGACAAAGTAACTTTGTAAATCTTTTATAACTTTAAGTTATTGGGTTTGAACTTAAAGAAGTTTATTTGTAAAATAATACTTGTTACTCGAGTTTTGAGATACTTGTCTATAAAATAATACTCGATATTAGTATTGAAGCCTGGAGAGACTTTGTATAAAAAAAATATTTGGATAATTGCTTTAAAAGACAGGTTAAAGAATATTTAAGGTTGAGTCAAAACTAACTTGATAAATAATACTTGTATTTTTTATAAGATAATGAAACTTGATTTAGTTGGATTAAAAATTGGACACAGTCTCAATAGTTAAGACGAACTAATATAAATCTCTGAGTTTATTTTTTATTTCATCTGTTCTCTCTTATATTATATGTTATGCTACTACTTCATTGTTTTGTGAAAAAATGTGAGTTCTTAAGTAACATTATTCAAACTCCTTTTTAGTATTTATTTTTTCTTCACACTATTTTAATCAATATTTTATAATATGGGTTTGTATTTTAAGAATTTATAAGATTTCAAAGAATTTTAGTAAATTTCAAAAGATAATATGGATTAAAAAAAACAACATAAATAAAAAAGTTTGATAAGAGAACGAAAATCAATAAAATATTTTAATAAATAATTAATTCTGATTTTATGTCTCTTAATTATCATTTCTCTACATACAACTTTTTATGTATTTATATTTCATTATTAAATTAATTTATTCTTATATAATTAAATATTAACGAATATTATAAATACAAATACTTTGATATTCATACCCGTATCCATTATTTACAAATACTTATTTATAGCAGATTTTATACAAGTACAATTTTCTGACATCCTTATTTGTATCTACTTAAGTTAAGGGCACACATCTAACATCTCATGTTTCTCTCCTTCACTATCATACCGTCTTCGGGTCTTCACAGGTAATTGTAATCGGATCATCAAGGGGTGGCACTCTTACAATCAAGTTTGAATTCGATATGTATGGAGCAATAAATGCTAACAATAAATTACTAAACAATGCATCAATCAACAATAACTACATTTAAGGTATCATATTTACACTTTATATTAATATTATTTTTAAAATCAAATTGATAATTAAATCGATCAAAGAAATTCAATAATTTCATTGCGATCAAATTAATATTAATAAAATAAATAATAATAATATTTAAGTAATACATGAAGAAATATTATATAAATATAATATCATAAATTTTATAATACTAAAATTAAAATTAAACATTATTTTACATATTTTTTAAAGAGCATGTAAAAATCTAAATATAATATTTAATTTTAAATTTTAATAAAATATAACAATATATTAATTTTACATTTAAAGTATAAAAGTCTCAAATTAATATAATATAAAATATCATGATATAAAAATTATAAATTAATATAATTACTAAATTATATCTTTATAAAAAAATTATTAAAAAAATAACAAATAACATAATTCATTCAAATTTATAATTTTTTTATTAAATATGTTTATATATTTATAATTAATAAATTTAGATTTTTTTTTTGAAAAAAACCGATTTAACCCGATTTTATACACTGTGTTCATCAATTTTGAGTCAACTTATCCAATTATTGATCATTCTTTCATGCCACATTTCAATTTTGTCATTTTTTTGAACCGGTAAACTGAATGATTTTCGATTAGATCAATCAAATTTACTTATCTAATCCAATTTTGATAACACAACTTTATACTTATCTCAATAAACTCTTGAACTCATGTGTTTTGAGTAAAATTACCGATTAGATAATCAAATCTTAATGATAATCTATTTATGTTTAGCATAATGAATAGATGTATGTTCAAAGATTCAACCTATCAAAAGACGACCAAACATATGTTTAAGTGTTTGGTCCTTGAAAAGGTCACATACATGTTTAAGTGTTCGACTTGTAGAGAGGTTGAATACACGTAGAGGGTTTGGACTCTAGGAAGATCATGTATGTGTTTATGAGTTTTGTGCTGTCTCTGTGTAGGTTAGTTAAGCATTTAAGGATCCAACTTCTAAAACATCGAGCACATTTAATTTACTCTTTATTTGTGCATATCTTATTTGTGATATTCAATATTAAGTGATCAGATATCCTGTCTTGTATACAATCATCAATTATTATCTTCACAATAAAAATTACTAAAAGAAAACAAATTCCTTTTGTCAAAAATAGGAAAAAATAAAATAACACTAATCATATCTCAAAAATTGAAAAATTACCATATGCATGTTCACATTTTATAAATTAAAACTACGATAGAGGAACCTCATTGCCTCTACAACTACACGTAGTTCCCTCCATTCTTTCTAACAGGCTTGCTGCAACCATGAAATGCATTTCTGCTATCTTTGTTTGCTTTGTTCTCTGCCTTTCTACAATTCAAAGGTATTTCTTCAACATCAATTTATCTTATCTTGTTTCAGTATCATTCAATTGATTGTGAGTTTTAACTGTATATGTTTTCTTGAATACATAATACGAAACATTGCGTAAATCATCTTAGTTGTTCTCTTTCTTCCAAACATCTTTCTCGTTTGTATAGTTTTGAGCAGTTTTTTTTATCCCAAAGATTTAATCACTTTTTTACTATATAAATTTCTACCTACAAATGAATTAAAATAACTACTTTGTACAAAAATAATTTTTTTTAAATGTCTCCTAAAAATATTTTTTTAGGAGACATTTAAAAAAAATTATTTTTTTACACTTAATTAGTTTAACTCAATTGAACAGAACGATTACTTATTATAATTCTTGATATCGAGTTGAATTCCTACGTATTAAAAAATAATAAATCAGCCTCCCAATTTATTCACACACATATATGCATGTTATCTCCATAAATTACTTGCTAGTGTATAAACGTATATCTCATTAGATGGTTTTTCCAACAAGAGTCTTTTCGGAATTTTTTTTTACCTTATATCTTCTTCAATTTGTTATTTTATTTTTTATTTTTAATTAAATTTTAATATTTTAAAAAATTGAAAATAATTTTATATCACAATATAAATAATTTATCATAAATTAAAAATGTAACTTTTGTGTTAAATATCTATTTTTTATGAATTTTAAATATAATATATTTTATATATTTAAAAAATTCAGTTATTATACATTTTAGTTATATAAATAAATATTTATACCGAGGGATAGTACAAATTAATATACTAGTTACTTAATTGTTGCTTTGGTTTTATACCGAGGGATGTCATTCATGAGGGTAAGTTCTACTTAGTCTTTTTAAAGAAGGGTAAGTCCTACTTAGAAAATAATTATTAACCTATCATGAGTCAATTCTGTAGCGAATTGCTTTGTGTTTTTCCAAATTTTCGCCAAATTTGTGGCTTCAGCCAATTATGCAGAGTATCAATGTGGTTATTTTTTTTATTTATTTTCTCACTGACTTGGACAAATAAAATATAACCATTGTATTTGAAGGTTGTTTTGTATCTAATTTTGTAAATGGTTTTTTTTTTTGGTAAAGAATGAAATTCATGAATAATTTCATAATAAAAGGAAATGAACAATTACTGGTAAGTAGTTTCAAAATAAAAAATAATACTGATGGAGGAAAAGGTGGTTTTAAAAAGTTGTAACAAATAAATGAGGATTAAAATGATTCATATTAAAATGGAAATCTGAGGCATTTATATAATGGGGGTATCCTTTTATATAAAGGTATAGAAATACTATAGATAAAGTTTCTCTTTGCTTTTCCATTAAAAAAAAGTTTCTCTTTGCTGATAAAAAAAAAAAAAAAACATCTTAAATGCAACCTAAAAAGAGGGTTCCATGATCTCACTTCATGTTGCTACCTTGTTCTGTTCTTTAGTTATTAGTACTTATTACTCATAAGAGAGAAATTACACACCAATACATAAAAGTTCTGACCAACCATGATGTTATATCTTAGTCTCTGTCAATTTTGTAAGACCCTTTTACAAAATTTCAAACAAAGAATATTTGACTTCACGTTTGTTGTTTGTTGATGACACAGTGTGTCATCACAAAATGCTATCACCCCTCCAAGAGGTTGGAACTCTTATGATTCCTTTAGCTGGATAATTTCCGAAGAAGAATACTTACAAAATGCTAATATAATTTCTCAGAGTTTACTTGCTCATGGATATGAGGTATTGTATATATTGCACAGCTGTTTTTAAATTACAGTTAATTCAATAGAACATATATTGCCAAGTATATGGATGTAAAACATTTCCTTTGAAAGCATGCAGTATGCTGTTGTGGATTACCTCTGGTTCAGGAGTCTTAAGGGTGATAGTAATTCTCTTGGTTTTGATTTGATTGATAAATGGGGAAGAATGCTCCCTGACCCTGAAAGATGGCCTTCATCAGGAGGAGGGAGAGGGTTCACTGATGTAGCTAATAAAGTACATAGCATGGGTTTAAAGTTTGGGATTCATCTTATGGCTGGAATCAGTACACAGGCATTCAATAACAACACACCAATACTAGATACCAAAACGGTACTGTTTCTTAAATTCCTACAATATACAGTTTGATTAACTTTTGTCATGCTCAAAATTAGTATATAGTTATGAGAAATGATACTTGTACAATAAAATAATAGCACATTTTATACATCATCACCTTTCTTGTCTTTTTCTCCATCATATCATTTATAATATTTATTATATATTTGCTGGGAAACAGAGGAGGCTATACGTATTTTCCTTTTGTTATTTATGAGATATTGGTGTACTCTGTTGAACTTATTTTTCCCTTCTTGCACCTTGCTTGCTAGGGACAACCTTACATGGAATCTGGTCGAACATGGAATGCAAAAGACATTGGAATCCCGTCAAGGACTTGTCCATGGATGAGTAATGGTTTCATGGCTATAAATGCAACAACAGGAGCTGGAAAAGCCTTCTTAAGATCAATTTATGAGCTGTATGCTTCATGGGGAGTTGATTTTGGTACTCACTGATATACATATATATGTATATACATATATATGTACTAGCACAATGTTGGGATTCAAACAAGTCCCACATCGATAAAATAATACAACAAATAACAACTTATATAATACAAACATACTTCAATGATGGAGAGATCAGGTTGGATTCATATAAAGACAGATTCCGCTGCATGAAAGGTTAGGGCAAAACCGTGAGGGCTTAGGCCCAAAGCGGACAATATCTCATCATTGTGGAGTATGTTTGTGTAATAACCTTATAAAAATAATTCATAAAATATCCTCTCAGACAAATACCATAAAAATAATCCCATCACACAAAATATGCAATACATCCATTTCTTACATTATATACACCTCAATCATAATGTTCTCAAATAAGCAATTGTGTGTGTATTTTACTTCCAACTTAGCTTTGACAGATTAATTTATAGGAATTTTCTGCTTTGATTTCTTGCAGTGAAACTTGACTGTGTATTTGGTGATAACTTTAATTTAGGTGAAATAAGATCTGTATCAGAGGTATATATAATACAGTTTCTTATCCCTTTATTCTGTCCTTTTTTCATTTTAAGGCCCAGAAATGTGGAAAACATTGTCCTCATTTGAGTTGCCATCTATGCAGATTCTCAATGGCTTTGACCACTCCATAGTGTTTTCTTTGTCTCCTGGAGTCTCAGCAACACCTGAACAGGCTAAGAGTGTTAGTAGTCTAGTTAACGCATACCGTGTAACAGGAGATGACTGGGATGAATGGTCAGCAATCTTAGCTCATTTTGATGTAGCAAGGTCATTTTCCAATCTTTGACTTCAAAATCTTTGGATTAGTATGCTCTTTCACCTTTCTTCTTCTACTTTACCATCAAAATTATATATCAACATCTTAATTCATTTAATTTGTCTTTCAGAGACTTTGCTGCATCTAATTTGATTGGAGCAAACGGTTTAAAGGGGAAATCATGGCCTGATTTGGACATGCTACCATTTGGATGGCTAACTGACCCAGGTTAGCCTAAATACTTTTTCCTTGACTTATTAGCACCAAGTTAAGGTATTCTATGGAGTTCCCAACTTACATCCCAATGCATAGTAATTTTCAATGTAAATGTGTTATTAGAAAAATGATATGTCTTTTTACTTTCTAAATCATTAGAAAAGGAAACTATGTTTTCAGTTTCATCCCATATATATATCGTGCTCATACATAATTGCAATGAGTTGTTTGAATTTGAGATATGTTTAGGAATATAAAGAATAAAAGTTTCTTTTTCTTTTTTCTTTTCGATAGCTGCTCATGTAGGTCCACACAGGTTTACTAAACTTACTCGAGATGAGCAAAGGACTCAGGTACATATATGAACAAGCACACAACTGAATTGTAATACTATATATTAGTGAGGACATATATTCATGTAAATTTATAGATGATTCTCTAAGAGAAGTTATTCTCATCTCACAGATGACTTTGTGGAGTATGGCAAAGTCTCCCATTATGTATGGAGGGGATCTTCGGAAAATTGATTCATGGACCTATGATCTTATCACAAATCCAACCCTATTGGAGATAGATGCTTGTAGCTATAATAACCGGGAGGCATGTGAAACTTCTTTTTCTTCTTGCCTTTTTCTTTTGGTAATCATGTGCAAGTTTTTGAAATCTTAGTTTGGTATATTGTTTTTCGTTTATTAGTTTCCTCATGTCACAACATTAAATGATGTCAAGACTGAAGGACACAATGTCACAAAAGTACCGTTTTATTACTCCCTAGCGCTCACTGAATGCACTGATCCAAAAGCACGTGGTTGGTCTGGTGAAAAATATAGCGAAGATCCTGAAAGAATCTGTTATAAGAGTCCAACACAGGATCAGGAGAAACCTTTGTGTGTTCACGAGAGAGAACTCCCAATAGCATTATCGTAATCACGCTTTACCTTAGTTTCTTCAATTTATTTGTCTAAATTTTGTTCTAGTTATCTGTGCTAAATTATATTACATTGATCTTGGTGCAGAAAACAGACATTAATCCAATCTGAACAAACATGGGAGTTGAAATCAAATGGCACTCTGGTTAATGGTCATTCTGGCATGTGTGCAACAGTGGAACATGTCCGAGGTAAATATCAGTATATAGGAAATAGTTATCTCTATAAAACTATTCTTGCTATCTCTGGTTTATTTATGTTTTTCTCCAATAATGCAGCTAAAGGTTATCCTAATAGAATTCGATCTTGGATTGCAGCCGGAAGAAGAGGTTTGACGCTAGCCATACTATTTCCATCTAGTAGAATTTTCTAATTTAGTATTTGTCAAATATACCAAATGAGATGCATTAAAATAAAAGTTGAGAAATGCTAGGACACATCTTTTTTATAGTCACTTTCTGACACTCAATTATTTGTTGTATTTAGTTGAAAATCACAAATTTTACCAATCTCATCTCATTTAATGAGTTTGTATTGAGTATGATGGGACCTATCAAAATTTGTGACTTTCAATTAAATAATAGAGAGTATTAGCACAAAAGTATTAGAGAGTATTGTTTGTATTTTTTGTTGCACTAAATGTTAGCATAAGTTACCGTGAAACTCTGATTTTGACAAAGGAATACAACTTAAATCTAAGTTTTGTGCTCATTATATATATTGCACGTTTGATTAACCATGCATGCTGTTTTCGTATAGGGTACTATCCTCTTAACTCCATGTTGTTATTGCTTTTGCTTGTGCTCAGGAGTGATATACGTTGCATTTTTCAATTTAGTTGACGAGAAGACAACAATATCTGCAAACATTGCAGACTTGGCTATTGCGATTCCGGGTAGAAAAAGAAAGTTGAGAGTTTGTGCAGGAACCGAAATATGGAGTAATGTATATTTACGGATACGTAATACGTTTTCAATAGAATTATCAGCTCATGGATGTGCGTTATTTGTCCTCAAGTGTGCTTGAATTTGGCCTAAAATCTTATTTGAACAAGTGTCTATCTATACCTCTATAAGAGATATTCCTTGATTACTATTTTGGTTTTCATTTTCAGATCATTTTGTCCCCATTTAAGTTCCCAAATATCCTTTTACAATGAGTAACTACGTAACACCACTTATCTATACATAAGTACAGCTTTTTTCTCGTGCTTCGATCACCCTATTATCTCATAAAAACGTTATTGTCTAAGATAACTCTTATAAACTCGTGTTATTTATCTCTTCTCTCCCAGACATGTCTTTATTTTGGGAGAGGTTCACTGATGTAGGTAATGAAGTTGTACATAGAATGGCCTTAAAATTTGGATCCTCTACATTTCAGATAAAACTGCGGTTTGGGCAGTTATAAATCAAACCCTTAACACTTTAGAAAATTAATCAATTTAATTTAAAATATTAATTTATTATATAATAAAATAAAAAATAAATAAATTACATTCGCACTTTATATGTTTTTTTTCAAGATTGTACTCAATATTTCTTGATTATTTGGACTTATAGGAAGACCCTTAAAAAAAATTTAAAAAAATGTTACACTTATATTCTCTGGATTTTTTTGAGATTGCACTCAATACTCCTTCCTTATTTAGACCTAGAGTGAGACACTTAAAAATTGAAAAATGTTACATTCTCACCTATGTGTTTTTTTTTTTTTTTATATATATATTACACCCAATATTGTTATTTGAATCTAGACCCCTTAATAAATAAGCAGTTAAAATCGATTAAACAATAACTGTGACTAAATAATAATGCTAAGTTTTAAAGGGATGAAAAACAAAAAAAAAATGAAAATGAAAATTAAAACATATTCATTTTACATGAACTAAATATATATATATATATATATATATATATGTCATTTCATAAATATAATAAATGAATTTATAGTAATCAATGAATGAAGGAAAAAATCAAATAATCAATAGATATATTATTTTTTTTTACTCCAACATTTAATAATAAATCTATTTTCTTTAAAAATAAAAAAATAATAATAAAGATTAGAAAATGTAAATCAAGTGAGATAATACATAATTAAAAAAAATTCAACAAAAATTAAAGGTCAAAGATGGTTATAAACATAATAAAATAATTATTATTGGTAGGGTAGAGAATTAATTTTTAAGTAAATTACACTTATGAAATAATATTGAGTATAATATAAAATAAAATAAAAATACGGACCAAATTGGACAATAAAAACTGTAATAGGTGTATCTGAAGCTATTGTTATAATAGGATAAACTTTGAATGTATCTATTGAAATAAAAAATAAAAAAAATCTCTAACATCTTTTCAGTATAGGTCTAAATAAGGGAGAGGAATTGACGTGAAAAAACACATAGAGTGAGTGTATAATTTACTCTAAAATAAATTTAACGGATGAGATATGTGGAGTTTCACTAGTAACTGTAGAGGATCATGTAATTCCAGCCACAAATACATTACCCGAGTTGGGCTTCATCATGCACATTCTTTCATTTCGGGCCCCTTCCTTCCTACACCCTCAACAAAAAACCACTGCATTTTTTTTAGTTAACTTTTAATTAACTATTTACAGAAAACTTTTTTTAATTAAAAATAACATCACCATTCAACGATGTCGCTTTCACTCTCTGCAAACATACTTAATTAATATAGTTAATTTAAATTTAATTCTCTATAAATATAAAATTAGATTTAAAAGTACATAGATTTTTAATCGAAGTAGAAAAATATAAATACTTTAGATTTAGGCGAAGAGCGGAAGATTTCAACAAAAAATCATTTGAGAGTACAAGTTTATTTAAGAATTGCTAAAAACCATATTTTAATATAAAGATAAATCTTAATGCAAAGTATGTATACGTACGTTATATAATTTTTTTGAGTGATGCATGTTTGTACATGTCCGTTATACTGGTTTGTTTACTTTTAATGATTTATGAAGTAACATATCTACCCAAAGCTTATATGTATTCCCGAGTTAGATTGATTTGAATTTTGATTTTTTTTTCAATAAATCAAAATTACACTTTGATTAAAATTAAGTTGGTCCGGTTTGGATTAAGAGAGTTCATATAAAAATTATGATATTTTCACTTTTTATAAATATTATTTTATTTTGTATTTGATTCAATTTAATTAAACATTAAATATTTACTTTATTTAAATATTTACCTTTTATATATTTTACTTTACATATATCATTATTATTTTTACTTAAAATAAAATAAAAGATTTACATAATAAACATAGCCAAATTAAGACAATTGATAATATTAGATAAATTGTAAGAAAAATAAAAAGGGAGTGACAATACAAAATTAAAGAAAATTTTCAATTCTATATTTAAAATATATTAATCTAAATTACACAAATTTAATTAATTTAATTTTCATCGAATATATATATATATATATATATATATATATATATAAATATAATCAAATAAAATTATAATTGGTTGTATTTGAAGTTAAAAGAATCTATAATTATGTTAATCTAAATGAATTTAATTTATTTAATTTGAATGGCAATTCTATCAAATAAATTTGATCCAATAAAATGTCTCTAATAATTTAATGTTTATTTATTATGTGAAAACACATAGAGTGGTTGACATAAGTGATGGTGACAATGTTCCTTCATTAAGTTGTTTATATTTTTTTATTTGAGAGGAAGTTGTTTATATTTTAAATTTTGACATTAAGTATAAAATAAATTATATTAGGAAAAAATATCTAAATTATGTGTACTCATGATCTCTAACAAAAATTAATCACTACTTTTGATAATAAATATGTCATATTAATACCATTATTACGAAATGTTAAAATGTTACAACTCTTTTAAAAAAAATACTTGTCTTATTTAAAAGTTGACCTAATATAAAAACCAATAAATGAAGTGTTAAAAATTATATTATTAATTACTATATATTATTTATAAATATCAATTATAATTTTATATATAATACTATATTATATGTTAAATAGTTCTATCAATTATATTTTTTAAGCTTAAAAACTATTTTTTAATTAAAAAAATCAAATTTGACTATTTTAATAAATAAAATAAGAGATTATGTTGTGATATATAGGGATGACAACAGGGCAGGTCGGGTACGAGTTTCATGATACTCGTCCATGTCCCCGCGAGCCAAATTCATTCTCATCTCCGTACTCGTACCCGTCGGGTATGTAATTTTCATCCCCATCCCCGTCTCCATCAGGTATCGGGTATAGCCGTACCTGTCAATTTATTTTTTATTTTTTATTTTTTGGAAAAAAAATAATATTTTTAAATTATTTTTTTATCATATTATAAATATAATTAGGTTATTTCTCTATCTCATATTATAATAAATAATCACACATAAAAATATATTAAAATTCTTTAATATAATTAAATTGAAAGTGGATATTAAATTAAAAATAGGAACGGGATGGGTACGGGTACAGGTACGGGTCGGGTAAGTACATACTCGTACCCGATTTAATATATCGGGTTTTACACGTACCCGTACCCGTACCCGGTCAAACCGGGTATTCCCCGTCAAAATCGGGACGAGTTTGGGTATTACCCGCTAGTACGGGTATATTTGTCATCCCTAATGACAACGAAGTAGACGAGTACGAGTTTCAATATCTCTGTCCTTAAATTCATATCTTATATTTATTATCATACTCCCGCCGTTTTTTTTTTGTTTGACATTTAAGATTTATGCACAATAATTAAGAAAATGATTAATATTTTAATTTTTAAAGTATTTATTATTATTATTTTCTTTTTATACTCTTTAAATAGTTGGAGAATAAATAAGTACATTAAAAATGAATAAACATATTATTTAGTAAATACATATTAGTTATCAAATATAAAAATATAAAAATAATAAATAATTAATTTTAGAAAAGTAACAATAAAAAAATAATATCAAAACAATTATGAATAAAAAATCTATAAATATATTTATTCATTTTCACTATAATGTGAAGATGAGTCATGATATATAAATTTGTCATTATTTATTTTTATCTGCGTACATAATTTAATAAATTAAATATTATTTATATTTGTACTTGTGTCAAAATAAATTGAATATTTTTTATTAAAATTAAGTAAATTAATCATTATTTATAAATAGGAGTTTATTTGAGATATTTTATATTCTGGGTGATATACGAAACCTATTTTCAGCCTTTTCAATCAGCGAGATTTTGTTGAAATGTGTGACAAGTGGTGGCTGGTACGTTTTTTATGAAAATTTAATGCCTTTCCCTTTCACAAATATTGGGCGTTACCAAGTTGTTGATTTTACTTAGCATTTGGATGTAAAGTTTGAGTACATATGTTGATGCTTTATGCCAAAGTTTGACCATGGAAGACGCCGCCGGGTGCTTTTATCATATAGTGACCCCACTATGCTGCCCCCAAAGTTTATTGCATACAAGTTACCCCTTCCCCATTTTAAGTCACAAAAGGGGGAATGTGGCCAATTTTGAGGGAAGAAACACTTGTTTTTCATGTCTATATAGTGTGACAAGTGTTTTCTATACCAATACTCAAAATGCTATTGCAACATTAACTTTCTTTCAAGATGTGAATATTATTGAATGAAATAAATAGTTATTATATCAAATAAGGCTAGTATGCTTTTCGGTATGATCAAATACCTCACGTTAGTAGGTGTATTCTCTACCAAAGTTTAGATACTGCTCATATTGGAGTGAGTGAATGTCTTTACAAAGCTAATAATTTCCTTAAAAAAACCTATTTGACAACCGTCTAATTATTGGTAAGTAAAACGTATAGTAACGTTTACACGACTTGTCATTATCATCAATAACTAATAGAATAGAATCGTTATATTATTTAAATGAGTTGCAGTGTAACTAACACTCATAAAACAAGACATAATATAATAACAAGGTACACTGATATATTTCTTACAATAATTACATGCAATTTAATGATCTTTTAACATGAGTGTTTCAATGTCAT